ATCTAGATGTGCCCCTTGATCTGCCCCCTCCTCCCAGTCCAGATGTGCCCCGCACTGATGCTCTCTGTCTCTCCTTAGGGTCTGCCAGGCCCGGCTGGGGAGAAGGGCGAGACAGGTGACGTGGGCCCCATGGTAAGTGACACCGGCTGCCCCCATTCCCAGTCCCCCCTCCAGGTGGGAATGTCCCAGAGCCCCCCTCACCTTGTTCTTTCTCCCCACAGGGCCCCCCAGGACCACCAGGGCCGCGTGGCCCAGCCGGACCCTCCGGAGCCGATGTAAGTTCCTCCCCCGCCCCTGCCCCCTGTCAGCCCTGACCCAGGCGTCCCCGGAGGTAACCAGCTCTGCTCTCTCCCCCTGCAGGGACCCCAAGGTGGCCCTGGAGGCATCGGCAACCTGGGCCCCCCTGGAGAGAAGGTAGGTGGAGGCAGGACGCCTGGGTTCTCTCCCAGCCCCGGGGGGGCAGGGTGGGGCTGGTAGATTTCATGGAGTTCAAGGCCAGAAGGGACCATTCGCTCCAGCCTGGCCCCTGGACAGCAGCGGGCAGAGAATCGCTCCCTGTCACCCTGTGCCCAGCCCCGCGACCTGGCTGGGCCGACACGTGTCAGCGCTCGGGGGACCGAGCCTGGGGCCACGACAGCTGAGCCCAGGAGGGACCGAGGGGCCCCAAGGGCTGACACCGCTGCAATGGCAGGGACCTGATCCGCTGAGCCCAGCCAGTGACGCACACCCCGCGCTGCAGGGGAACGGGAACCCCCCCGGGGGCCCTGCCTGTCTGTCCTGGGGGAGATTCCTTCCCTGCCCCAGTCTGGGGACCCCCAGCGTGTGAGCCAGACTCAGCAGCCAGACAGCGGTGTCTCGGGAGCCGCTCAGAGCCCCCCCCCCCCGTGTGGTGCCCTGTCTCCAGCTGATTGAGTCTCGGGGAGCAAATCCCTTCCTGACCCTGCCGCCCTGCAGCCTGAGACTGGATGAGTCACTGTCCGCGTGCAGAGCGTGCAGAGGGCAGTGCAGGCGACCCTGTTCTCCCCGTGGCCCGTGAAGGGAGGGGACGGATGGGGGGG